GTGACTGATACTCACATCACATGGCTATCGTTCACACCTAATTAATACCTATTGTTAACAGGGGGTGGAGTGATACTGCCAATGGCAGTGCTGTAGGAGGTCCAGAGGACCTATACAATTTTTTTTCCTTTTGATTTTTTACCTGGATTACTGAGATGCATCAGGACATTACCCACAGACAGTTTAAGTTGTAAAAATTCAAAGAAAGTTGAGTTTACTTGTTGTTAGTAGTTTTGAAGTGTTATGAACAAAAATGATCTTTCCTGCTATAAATAGCTTTTTGAACATCCTTTAATTCTCACCAGATTGATGAGTTAAACCAGTATCTCCTGAGCACTAGTTGGTGAGCAGTTGGTGAGTTATTAAATATTCATAACTTTATACAGGCCCCGCTTCAGAAGATTGKAACTGCTGCCTTAGGGTTTAATTCATATTATCGTTCAACCTCCGGCAAAGAAGCATTGACATTGATTTTTTTTTTTTTTTAAATCCTCACCTGAGTTATTAAATCAGGGGAAATCCCCACTCAGGGTCCATATATTTGCTTTTTGCTGCACTGGCAGAAGAAGTGTCCATGCGTAGATTTTAGCGCTCTGCTCGTACAGTAAGCGGGCTTTTTGCGCTCATTCAGATGTGTGTCTGGGTGCGAGCTGAAGTTTGATCCATATAACATGATACCTCTCCTGGAGACCGCTCACTCTGAACAGTCTCATGAAGTTTAATGACCGTGAGTGCTTGAGCAGGTCTATTATGTTAAGGTCAAGGACTGTGTGCGGCAGTCCGACACGGGACGACGGGGACAGGAAGTGTCAGAAGAAGGAGGCTGACGGGTGGTGGAGGAGGAGCATCCTCCTCCTCCTCCACCTGTGCTGTTTGTCGCTCACACCTCCTGCCTTTTCATGGACAGTAATAACTCTGGTTGTGTGTCTGTGCTGGGTGTTCCAGTGTGTGTGTGTGTGTGAGTCCTCTGCACGGTCATCACACATTAGATCACAGAACTCACAGGAGGCTGTGGGACTGAAAGAGAGGTTTCTGACAGTTTGAAGTGGGCTTCTGTGGAAAAGCTGCAAACTGTTGATGTCTTACCTGTTGCAGATAGCTTTTTGGGCCTACTTTAACAGCAGCTTTGGCTCGTTTTAATCATCAGTCCTGTCAGAATTATCATAATTTCTTTAAAACGATATCATTCAAAGAACAGCAGGTGGTGTAATTTAGTCAAGCTTATAAAATATATTTACATGAAGTTATAATGCAAACTGTAAATTTCTATAATTTATTTTTCTTTTGCTTTTTTGTTACTTGCTTTGTCTTTGTGCTGTTTTTTTTCTCTCTCTTATCACCTTCTTAAAACTGTCCAAGTCAACTTTTAAAAGAATCCCCTTCTTCAGGGGTCACCACAAACTCGCTTGAAAGATTTGGCAATAATTTTAATCCAGATATTTTTCCTGATGTATCCTGGGCTGAGCTGCCCCAACATGTAAAAAAGAGGCAAAATAAGAGCTTTTTTTAATGACATTTCAGTGTACATTAGTAGCTCCTATCTGTTTAGCTAAACCTGCTGTTAAATTAAAATTTTTGGATTAAAAATTAAAACTACATCTGAAAGCCTTTGAAAATAAAATCTAGTTCTCAGACTTCTGTAGTATTTTGAAGTTCAGAGACATCAAACACAATCTGTTGCTTTTTACTACCTTACAAGATTTATCTGAATGTTATAATATATTTATAATATTCTGATGTATTTATACAAAGTTATAACATTATATCACAGAGTACTACAGAGTTGGCTAAGCATGAGGATTTTATATTTACCCCTCTGCTACCCCGGTCCTGGTTTTCTTTGTTTTTGCCCYGAAAAACTTTGGAATTTGTCCTTTTTGGATAAAAAAAACAAACCTCTATAATCTATAGGCAGCCTCCTTCTCCTAGGTTGGAAGCCAAGAGCTTCATTAGGTTGGGTATGTGGGGTCTGGTTGTGGGGGGTGGGTGGGGTGGGGTTCTGCTTTGATCTAAAAATACACACCATCATCGCCTCTGGAGGGGAGAAAAAGAAAAAGTTAAAAGTTTCCATGTCTTCATCAGAAAGAAGCTTTGGTATTTTTCTTTTCTTTCTTTCAAGGAGAGGCTCAGAATGTAAGAAGCTAAGATGTTTTARCTTCCTCAGTAAGGTTTGATTGTTTTTAGTTTGGAGCCATTAGATGCCCACAGCTTTACTTTTTTCTTGAGGTCTTTTTTCTCATCAGGAAGACAGAACTTGTATGTGTAAGATCATTTAGGTAAAGGAGTAGGGGTGTAAGAAAATATCGATACACTGAAATATCGCTATATTTCATTTCCCGATACTGTATCGATAATCTAAAGCCCTGTWTCGATTTTTTATTAAGGTTTAAAATGTCAACCTTCTTGCCAACCGTTCATTTTTATGATGTAGTTCAGCCTCTGACCACTAGTTGGCAGCAGTGAGCCAGCCATTTGGCTCCTCTACCTCTTGAGCGCCAGAGAGTAAGGGTAGCATTAGCATTGTAAGTAAACATTAGCTTTTCTTTTTTGTTTTTCAGTAAGAGGTTTTTATTTAATAGAATTTTTGGACAAAAAAATCGCAACATATTGCAATATGTTGCCTTGCTTACAGTATCGCAATATATCGGGACATATCKTATCGTGACCCCTCTTTTATGATATGTATCGTATCGCCAAATTCTTGCCAATATACAGCCCTATAAAGGAGACTCTCTCTGCTCCTGTCCGGGGGCTTCCTGTATGATCCTAATCATAACTCCCTCCTCTGTGTCTCCTCTCCTGCCCCTCTTCTCTCCTTCAGAGCATAGGYAAAGGCTCTCTGTGGTCCATAGATCCAGAGTACAGGCACAACCTGATCCAGGCACTAAAGAAGACGCCGTACCATCCGTACTCGCCCAGCCTGGCCGCCCCACCCACCTCCCCGCCCACCCTGCCACCGACGTTCCACCACAGGTAAGAAGCCTTTTTTTGTTTTTTTGTTTCGTCACCATCGTCGGACTGGTCGCATTGGAAACAGGCACATTTGTCCCACACCACGGAGGAGRWAAATACTTGWTTTAGAAAACTTTTAACTYGCGYGCGCTTTTATTTTGAAGGCGCAACACAGCATCATTTCACTGTGTGCCCCCCYGCCTCCCTCTGAGCCGCTCGGTTTGAGTGACAGGCAGCAGCGGGAGTCAGAAACTCTTTAGGATGAGGTCAAACTGTCCCATCAGGAATGGTCAGAATGTTGCTGTTTGTTGTTTACGTTCATTCATGGAAACTGAATCTTTTTCATTCAATCAGATTCAGATTCTCTTTGTTGTTATTCAACATAACATCAGAGATGCACTGTASAATGAAATTATGATGCCTATTAGCTCACACCACAAAAAATAGGCAGCTGGATAAACTATAAAAGAATATAAAAGTTAGACTAGCAGAATAAAATTGAGTGAAATATGTTAAACATAGAAAAAAAATCCAGATTAAGATGAGATGGTGTAATCCTTTTAATCCTGGGATGCTCACTCGTCCATATTTAACTGCTAATTTTGTCTAGAAGTTCACTACACTAGTCAAAATATTTTATCACATTTCAGCACAAYGTCACCAGCAGCAAAGAAGCTGCACAGCAGCAGGACTTTACTATGTTTTGCTTTGTTACACAACATTAGGGGAAACACCTGATCATGGCTTATCAACATGTATGACATTATATTAGATATTATGTGCAATMATGTTTTTACCAGGAGAATTATGGTAGTATAAAGAGCAGTGAGACATTTGAAGCAATGGAAGGTGGAGACACGGAGGAAGCGCAGCTGAGGTCTGAAATTAGTTTGAAGTATAGATTAGCCTGTTATTCCATTTTAAACAGAAATATTTTTTATCATGAGAAGAACTGGTTCATGGAGGAGAGAGGAGAGCCAGGTGTGGTGTGAGGTCACCTTTAAAAATCACATTAATTATAATAGATCCAGAAAGAACAGGCGAGGACTGATGTCAGGTTGATTATTATTATTATTATTATTATTATTATTATTATTATTATTATTATTATTATTATTATTATTATTATTATTATTATTATTATTATTATTATTATTTCCACAGTACTCATTTACTATAAGGGTTAGGTTATGCTGTAAACAGACTTAACAGTTATGAGATGTATACATTTGTAAATCAGTTGCTAAAAATATTTATTCTGTATGAAAAAAACCCTTTTTAGCTTCTTGCTGGTGTTCTCTGTTGTAAATATGTTGATGCCATGCAGGAACATCAGAGGCTTGAGGCAGGAAGTCAGAGTGAAGGAGAGGCAGGAGCAGACCATCAGGTAAGAGACAGGAACACAGAACAGATCTTTTCTTCTTCTCTTTGGCAATAATGTTYGTCAATGYTGCAATCAGGTGTTTTTTYTTCTTCTTTTCKTTCTAATATGWACTTCCTACTTTATGTGACTTTTAMAAWTTTTGACTAAATGTCTGCTGTGAGCTTTTACCGCTGTAACACTCTGTCCWACTGRCTAAACATTGCATTAGCATGAAAAATACAACTTCAAAACTTTTTAAAATACATTTCACTCCAAGTAGTCTTTTGCAATATAAGTATCRTGTACTGTACAGTGATATTGCGATGATGTTTTCTCAGTACACAGTATTGTACAGGCTTATTAAAGCCTTTTTGCAGGGTGGTTTACCCACAACACTATGTTTCCAAGAAGCATTTGAGAAAAGAAGAAAGTAAAAGATCAAATAGCATTTTGTGAATGTTTTGCAGAGTAGTTAATTTATGACTTACTGTAGTGCTGGGCAGTATACCGGTTCGTACCGAATACCGATTTTTGTTATGATATGAATTTTCTGAATACGACATACCGGTGCAGAACATTTCGTCGCGGCCGCCAGTGAACTGTTTCCCGGGGGACACTTTTCCTCGCTGCACCGCTATGTGCGTTAGCATGCTAATGTTATTGTTGAGCAGTTTGTTGTAGCGGCGGGTGGCGATTCCGCTGCTTATGTTGACTGACGTTAAAAAACATCCCGTTTTCGCCATCGCTGAATGTAGTAAACACCTCTTCAGTGACTTGCACAGTTAGACATAATATGCGACTTTAATATGGAGACGTGGAAACGCATGGAGACTTTAGCGTGCTTCTATTGTGAAAAGCCGGGGGGAGAAGTTTTGTAGTGGAATTTATTGACTGGTGTGCAAAGTGAGTTGTGCTGTTAATCTTTATTAAATAACATAAAACAATCGACCCGATAATAATCTTTTCTTAACCCTCCTCCTTCACGACCGGACCAAAATGCGTGACTAATGTCTCCAACCAGGAGGAGAAGACGTTTAGAGGAGGGAAACAGAGACACAGACAGACAGAGGTACAGTAAAAGAGAAAAGTTAATGAGCAGTGTTTGTACATTTTATTATCAGCTGACCTGTGATGAAAAAAAATACCGTGATATACCGTGAAACCGGTGTAAATGTTGAAAATACCGTGAAATAAAATTATGGTCATACCGCCCAGCTCTAACGTACTGTGTGTCTGCTCAGACTATTCACTGATCCTTCAGGTTTGCGATATTATTAAAATTAWTTAATTGTTTGAAGTTGACTGACAGCTCACTTTACATATTAACCGGTGAATCTTCAAATTTAAGAGCAAGTTTTGGGTGTTTTTCCTTTCATTTTKCAGTTATTTGTGAAAAGTACTTCAGTTTTACTTCTAGTAACCGTACTAAATAAAAGGGAAACAAGTAGCAGTAGTACGAGTGTTTATATGGTTAAAGTGAATCAAAGAAAACCAATCAAACGAGGACCTCGCCGCCAACATCCAATAATGAGCTAAAACCTGCGGCGTGCGTTCCTCTCCCTCTCCATCCTCTCTCCTGGCTGCAGGCGCTCGGGCTGACCTGCTCTGTCTGCTCCTCAAATCTTTTCCTGCACGCTGTTTTCATGCAACAACACTCCTGTCTTTCTACCCCCGAGGCGTAGCGCAGGTATCGCTCCATCAGCCTCCCCTCTTTTTTCTCTCTCTTTTACCCCCCTTCCTTCTGGATCTCCTCCGGCCTCCTCTTCTCTGTACTTCCCCGCTTTCTTTCTCTTGTCTCCTGCTTTATTGCCCCCACACACATCCACCTCCTACCCCACTCTGTTCTTCCTGAGGAATACATTACACCCCCCCCCCACACACACACACACACTTTGCTCCATACTCTTTATTTCTTCTTTAATTTTTCCCTCCCCTCTCGCTCCTTTCCACACTTTTCCCCCATTCTTTCTGTCACTTTATCATTCAATTAAATCCTCCTTTTGTCTACACTCACACACACTCACACACACTGCGCTCCACAGTACAACAGCATCCACCTGTGTTTTTTCCCTCCTCCTCCTCCTCTCTTTATGACCTCTCCTCCGCCCTCCATCATCCTCTCTGCTAACTTCTCAGTATCCTGCACTTCCATCTATCCCTGCGGACATGTCAGAGAGGTACCATTAGGGTTTCTCTCTCTCTCTCTCGTCTTCAGCTTCTTCTTCTACTCTCACTCCCTGTCCAAACACCCCCCTCCCCACCACCCAGCACCAGGAGCAGCAGCATCAGCAGCCCTTCGCCCCGCTCCCCTCCCCTGATCTGGGCAGGTTGGCTCGCACAGCCAGCCGCCTGTGTAAGACRGAATAATTGGTTCACCGTAAAATGTAAAAGTGTCATTTTGAACAATGAGGTATGGGGAAGTGGAACAAATTGGAGGCTGGATTCAGAACATGGGGGGGGGGGGGTCATTTGCATTGTGACACACACACACATATGAACGCTCTGGGAAATGTGAGCAAAGTGTGCATTTTTTTTTGGTCTGAGGGAAAGTAGAGGTCCCTGGCGATGCAGCACCTGCGCTTTCCTTGTGTGTGTGTTTGTGTGTTTGTGTTTGCACCGTAGTCGGTTCAGCTACAGCACACGRTTATTTGATCTGTAAAATGTCCTTCACGGGCTCCTGTAACTTGAGGAGACATCTTTCAGTGCCTGCTTGTTGTCTGAAAATTAGTTTCTAACTCCCAACAAATGGACGCTGCTGCGGCAGAAATCAATACTGAAGCAGGAAATAGAAAGTCAGAATGCTGATGTTTTTCTTTCGGCTGCTCCTTCCTGCCGGGGGTCGCCACGGCAAGCGAAAGAAAGCATGMCCGGTTTGGTGATAGTTTTACACCGGATGCCCTTTCTGAAGCAACCTCAAAATCCAAAACTTCATCTRCAGTCTGATATAAGGTGAAGCTTGAAATAAAGCTTCTCCCTGATTATCTTTTACTCAGAGTAAAAGAAAAGGTCAAAAAATATAACCAATTACCTGACTTGAAGCATATCAATCATTTGATCACAAGCTTCTGGTTGAGGATTGTTCATACAATCACACTGTATTAACCTTTGCACTTTTAGATCGTTCAGTGTTGCAGCTGTCCTTCCTCTCAACASTAAAGCATCGTTAGCTGTCACCTGTCTTGTAGTTGCTACAGCGCGTAGCAAAGTGGTTTGTTTTGTGAAAATGCAGCAAATTCTCACAGTCACTAAAATCTTGTTTATGGTAAGAAGAAGCAGCGTTAAGACCTGATGTACTCACAAATCACTGACGATTGTCCATCGATCCGCCCCATCATCTTCCCCTCATTCTAGTGTCACATTTCAGGGGCATCACCTTGAGCACCTTCCAGCTTTTCTGGGAGGATTCCAAGGCATTTCCAGGCCAGACAGGAGACATACCTGTAGTCTCTCCAGCAAGTTCAGAGTCTTCTCTGGGATCTCCTCCCAGTTGATCTAGGGAGGCATCTAGGAGGTATTTAGAGGGCATCTAGGAGGCATCTTTACCAGATGCCAGAACCACCTCAACTGGTTCCTCTTGATGTGTCTCTACTCTGAGTCTCTCCTGGTTAACTGAAACTTCTCCCTACGTATCTCTTAAGCCCCTTCTCCATTGTCAAGTCACTCRTCTCCTAAAAAAGGTTTACACTATGGATGCATGTTATCGATTAATGAATTAATCTAAAGTCGATTGATCTTATCGATCGACTAACAATTAATTGATAAGCGGCCATTTTCCTAAAAACCTGACATTTCTCTTTCTATAACATGAAGGGCTAATTTTTTACACACTGAATAAAAAAATACAGTATTATTTTAACAATTCATTGTGCCAGCTGTGTGAGTAACTGATTGAATGAACAGAGAAGTGTGGATTTCTCTCACGTTATTAAACTTGGACATATTTATAAAATATAACAAAACAAGAATCTGTTAAGTTGCTAGTTGGGAAAAAATGAAAGAATAAAATAAGAAAACACTTAGTCCACCCTGAAGATGAAAAACTATAATTTAAACACAGGGTAATATTAAAGATTAACTCAAAAACAAACTAGGAACATAATAAAATATCCCTGAAAGACGTGAGATACAAATGAGTACTGGCAGGTTTGTTTATATTCCCTCTACTTCTATCTTAGCTGGGCTGCACGGAGTGATCTGACGTCAGTGTTGGGAAATCTTCCCTATTTTCAGATCATAAGATCATGGTCACTGACTATCGCCAATAGACGATCCAATCGGCTGATAAGACATGCGCAGTTACGTTAAAAAAAAAGAATATAAAAACAAGCAGGTTATTATAAGCGATGGTTTCTTTTTTTTCTAAAGCCACTTGTAAATTCCGTGAGTCGCAGGTTGCACTTTAATTGGGCTTATCTTTTAACGTGACTTGCTTATTTTGTGCTCGTCTTTCTTTCCGAATGACGTTCCTGAGACACCCCGCGCCAAGAAACCCCCCTCCTGCTTTAGCATATATCACTGCATGGGATTTCTCTACCGGTGGAGTCCAATGGGGATAAAAAAATGTTAGACTAGTCACTTGACGTTGTTTATCCACAAACTGGTCCAGGGTTAAGCTCAAAAGTTTTTATCAGCCAGATTTTACCGTGAAAATCGTCTGTTTTATCCCCTTTTATGAGGTTTTGGCCGTTTCACTCGGTTTGACTATCTTTATAAATCGCTGCTTCCTGGGAACGAGTTGCTTTTTTTCTCTCTCTCTCTCTTTTTTTAAGCGAAGCAAACACAGCCTCTGAGCGCTTTCAGCACAAACAAACACTCCCACAAACTTCAGACCAAGTATGTGTTCTTATGTGGAGGGGGGTGAAAAGTTGACAAAGTCGACACACTTCAAACACACACACTCACCAGAGSCCAGAGTGACAGGGAAAAGCAGGGGTGAGGGAGTGCGCTCCGGTCCGTTTCTGAACTGTTTAGAGTTATTTATTCAAATGTATGATTGTCATGGATTATTCGTTTTGTAACTAAAC